CTACCATTCCTTCGTCACCTCAAATGAAATTGTGTCAACACAACTCATACACATGTTTTACTGGTAGCCTTGAAAACCGACTTATTTACGAAAGATTCATTTCACGTCACATGCCAATCTGTAAGTTTGTGCAACAAAAGACACGGAATGAGCAATGAGAGTTCCAAATAAGTGGAACTGAGAGTGACCCCTGTTCTCGGTTGCCAGGGGCAATTGAGCCATTTTATCAGCCAGAAATCTGATTAGAAGTTGGTTGACCTCGTTGTCGCAACTTGGTCTTGTTGTCAGGGCGACTATGTAGAACGCACCTAGTCCGAAGTTGTCTGCCATAGTAGTTGTCATGGGCTTGATACATTCTCAAACATTTCGTCGGCATCGTAGTCGACATCATCAGTCAGTTTTGCCATTCTCCGCACCAAGACACGAACTCGAAGACGGCTTCGGACCAGATGCATTCTAGATAGTCGCCCTGACAACAAGACCAAGTTGCGACATCGAGGTCAACCCATGTCTATAAATCGAAGGGAGTCTGCGACCATACCAGAGACCACAACATCTTGGTCTTCATATCTTCAGAATTCTGATTGCCTACTGCCCGGTTGGCGTCCGATCAAGCAAAGTGGATCGTTCTGCGAACCCTCATTTTACCCGAATTTTCCAAATGCAATGTATTGCCTAATCCCTCGATTTCAGCGGCCGCCGTGATTTGGCGTTTAGCTGCAGAGGCAAGCATATCCAAAAAAAGACATTCCAAGACAATTCTCTTTCATGGAAGTGGGTTGACCTCGTTGTCGCAACCTAATCATGTTGTCAGGGCGACTTAGTAGAACGCACCAAGTCCGAAGTCGTCTTCGAAAGGAGACGGCGACCATACCGAGGCCACACAATCTTAGTCTTCATATCTTCAATTCTCTTTCATGTTCACCTTCTGCCATGTCTTCGGCTACCTTTGATCGGTGAAGGCCCAGCCTCTACAGGCACTTGTAGATCCATACGAAGAAAGGTTGGGTTTCCAGGAATCGCTTGTTTCATAATCGTTGAGCTTACTTCCATTTCGAGTGGAAGTGTTGGGTGAAGAGATTCGAAGCTCGGTTCCACCAGAAGACGT